CTGATAACTCTGCATAGATTAAATTTCAATTTAAATCGATCTAACTGTGATGATGTTTAACTATGGAGAGGTAATTTATATTTACTAAGAACTCAAATTCAGAAAGACATATACAATCAATATCTAATTAAAGTTCAGAATTCTAAAACTTTCACCTCATTTAACTTCAGTAAATTATATTTATAACAAAAGCTCATTGAAGGTGATCAGATGGACAGTTAAAATTAGAGCTGATGTTTTGAACTTACAATCTAAACACTTCAAGCAAAAAAATCATAATTGTAGCATGTGTAATACAAACGAAATAGAAGATTTATATCACTTCCTGGCTGCTTCTCCGATACTCTCTGAATTTAGAATTAAATGGTTAATCTAGAAATTTATCTCGGGATGAAGTAATACAGTTTTTAAATGGAAACAATTAGCTAACATTGGTAAATTACTGCAAATCTGCTTTCTCCTATAGAATAATGTTCACCAGAGAATTTAACAATTAACAAATTATAGAATTTTGGTACCACTCTTTTTATAATTAAAATATTTATGTAACTTTTACATTGTAAATATAATTGTTCTTATTTTCTTATTAATTAGTCGGATATAAATAGATTGAAATATAATTTCGTTATAAAACACAGACTCCTCTGACGGTCAATAGACCATGTAGCACGTCTGATTTTCGGTTTAAAATCCAAAAATATTATTATGCATTGTTTTTTAAATTTATATTATGCAATTTCGATAAATAAAATGACTTTTCTTCTTGCTCTTCTTCTTCTACTGTTTCGTTAAAGAAATATTTAGTTCAGATTCTACTTAATTTTCTATGGGATAAATGGTGGGGAAATTAATGAATCTTTCGATAAACTCAAGTTTCAAACTAATGTTCTGTACGCAATTTAAAACATTAACGGTATTATCTCTCAATAGTAATGATAATGTTAGAATCTAACTTAATTTTGTTGTTCAATATTTTTTTTATCGGATACTAGGGAGATAATCCCTGTCAGTCTAACGGCGGATCAACCTCCATTTTACAAATTATACAATCGTTCATTTAATTTTACCAGTCGTTGCTCAAATTGTAAAGCTTTAATTTATATGTATTCTGTAGTTCAGATTGAAACCATTGTTTGGACAAATTTTTCGTTTCTTTAAAAATCTGTATTATACATCGCGCATTATTGCCGATTCATGATAAAATTATATTACACATTATTATATAATTATAATTATTCTTATTGCCAATTTGAAACCATAATATATTTTCATCTTGTCCAGCTTCATATTAGCCCAACAATAATTTAAGCATTTTATTTCTAATATGTTAACTGCTGTTTTATGTTGCACTTCATTTTCTGTTTTATAATAATTGTAATTATATCGCAAAGGGAAATGTCTAGATCGAATATAACTGCTTTCACCAAGGTAAAATCAAACTACCATCTCCGGATAAATAAATAGCATTTCCCGTACAAATTTTTAATCTAAAACCTTTATTTTGTTTTAAGAGAGTATTAGGTAACAGTAACTCAACGCATATGTAATTAAATGAACAGCTGTATGATTAGTGCCAATTATAGAGCTAATAGGAAAGCTCTTGTAATCTCCTACGCTCCTAATGCTAAAATAAAATATGGCATACACTAAAAGCTTGTTTATATAATAGAGATAAGTATATAAATATATATATCGCAAGAAACATAAGAGTACTTAAATACATCTTTGGAGTAAAATATAATATCTATATATCGTAAAATGTCACTAAGTACATTATTGATGGGGTGTTGAACTTTGAAGTAAGTCTTTGCGAATTTCGATCTTATTTATCAATTCAATCAAGTCCACCAAAATGACACAAACCTTTTTTTGCATGAAAACAAACGGTTACACAAGGTTCTGATTTCAAAGAGAAAATTCATCAACGTTGTTTGTGATTTAAAAAATAGGAAACGTCATTTGATGACTTTTTGTGATGAATAGACGTAATGTTCTAATTCAACATCAGAAACAACAATGAATGTATTAAGCCATTGCCGTGAATATTTATGCAACCAGATAAACCTAAAAATGCTGAGATGCAAATTCCTGACATATATGGCTCTAAAAATAATACCTTACGTCTAAAAAAAACTTCATTGTCTGTTAATTTAAAGGCGTCCTTTAATGATTGATGTATATATATCTCCGATAGTGAGTCCACAAAGTACGTCAAACATGTTGTTATCCCGAAATAGTTTTCGCAATAGTCGTCAAATATTGGAAATATTTAACATGAATAATGAACTCTTATAGTAAATTTAAAGCGCTAATAAACTTTTTTTCCGTATGAAGAATGAAGACAATAATATTTAAAAAAAGAGTATGGTGTATAATAAAAACAAATCATGAAATAGAAAAGACAGTATAAAACACTTGCAATAAATCCTAACCACTATAAAAAGAATGTTACCAAAGCTATTTTATTTTATTATCACGGTCTTTAATAATAAACAAAGAATATTATTTTATAGTTCTACATGTGTACCTCACAATTTATTTTTAATTTTACCACATGTTTTAATTTTATCTTAAAGGATGTAATAATTAGTAAATTTTATGGGTCATTATTTCCTGAAAATTAGTTTAAAATAACAGAATCACAATTATTTGTTATTTATCGATATTTTTTTTTATTATATGGGTTTTTTTTATAGTATAATAGAAAATTTGACTTTTATAATATTTTACTCATTTTATATCAAAATACACGCATTAAATATTTTAACGATTTTTAGGAAATTATGTATTTCTTCGATCTAATTCTAATAAAATTTGCATCGCATTACATAAATTGTCTTATTTTATTTATCTAGAATTTAAAACTATACAATATATATAAAAATAATAATATTAATAATTTCCTCATTCACATTTCCTCTTTCATAATATGATGGAAATTACAGATACTATAAAAATTATATCGTCTGTAATCCACATACTTTAACCTCAGTCTTATAAATGAAAAGTTATTGAATTACTTATAGCAAAGACCTACTGCATTGAATTTGTTCAACATTTCCATGACATTACGGTTAGTTAACATCTACAGATATTTAGTGGATACATCTAGCATAGATAATACTTTAAATGTGAATAGAATCTCTTGCTTGATCGATAAATTAGCAATAGGTTTCAAAACATGTACTTATAAATTGTCAACATCTATGCATAAACATATATAGGATATTGTCGACTATTGTATGATTTATAACTTATGATACTAAAACATAATGTCATATAAATCATATGTTCTTGAGTAATACTTATTTGTTTGTTTTTTCTTAAGAGGGATTATCGTTTTACTTGTCTTCAATATACTGTTGATAAATAGTGTATTATATATTGTATATTCTACTATGTATAAATTCACAGATTAAATCTTAATTATATAGTGCACAAATGTTTTTTAATTTTTATGGATTTTTTAACAAATCGAGATAATTATCGACTCCTATGTAATTACACCTATTGAATACGATGATGAAAACAAAGTGGTGTGAAAATATGTTTATTTCCAAACTTGCATTTCTGAAGTATTAAAAAAAAAATGAATTCATCTCATTCTTTTTTAATCGTTTTAGTCCTATGAAAATTAAAAATAAATTTATTTTATTGTAAATGTTAAGCATTTTTATTGTACAACATTTATAACTTCTTGCTTATTTACAAATCATACAATATTTTATATTTTCTATCCAAAAACCGAACGCCCGAATAAATTGTTTTTTTATTCGAAATGGGCATTAAGTGTAATGTGTTCCAAATATAATAAAAGAATGAATTTTAGAAATATGTGCAAATAAAGAATTTTTAAATTGAAAACTTATTTAGGCGCGTTTTGTACTTTTTTGTGTAGAATAAATTAGATTGATCCGTCAGATTTCGTTAGGCATTAATGCTCGGGAAAAACTCGTCTAAATTCGACTAATTAAAATATTTTTGCTTATAGATTAAACTACTTCAGAAACTATAAATCGGGCCTGCATACTGTAAGCGAATTGTTCAGCATTTCATCGTCTCTGTAATAGGCTATAATTGAAAAATTGTATCTTAACACCAAGCCGTGTTAGCGAGGCGAAAAGGAAAAAGCGAACCAACCGAATCAAGGTTAGGTGAACAAATGGATTAAAATATTTCAGATACTAAAAATCGGATCTGTATACTGTAAGCGAGGAAAATATTTAGCATTTCATCTTCTTATTAATGAGATATTATTTATAATTTATATTTCATTTCATTAATCATATTATTTTAATACAATTGTTAAATAATATAAAGGAAGTGGCATAGCTCATTGGTCAAAGCACTGACTCTCAACACTCAAGTTCCTGAGTTCAAATCCGGCTGATGACAACTAATTATTTATTCTGTTACATCAGCAGTGGATCGAAACTGAGGTCAGGAAACCCTAGGGTTCACCCATCCTCTATAAAGTGCGTATTCTTAATTAAATAGTTAATTAAGAGGCTAAAACCTGACGATTGAGCATGATGCTGACTGCACATCCGTTGGCCTAAATAGTACTTCCTTACATGGTACTTAATCAAAGACCCTTAATGAGTGTTTTTTTTTAATATTGGTTGGCCTTGATATTATATTGGAATTTTCATAATAATAGAGTTTTTTCTAAAAATTTTCATTCATGATTAAGATTCACATTTATTAGGAAGTAAAATTAAAAGGAAGTAATTTATTAGGAAATAAACGACTCACGTATTTTTTGAAGGTGATAGAGAAGACGTATATTATAAAAAAATCTGTCACGTTTTCATTCAGGAGCATTGCTTTGACAATGAGATAATTTTATCTGAAATGCCCAAAATGAGATTATACCAATCGAATCTGGATTTATCAAGCCCATGACGATGACCTTAGAAACCAGGCGTAAAAAGAGCCATTTAACGACATAAACAAAGTTGGTGTAGTGGGGCTAGAAATAACAGTGATCTCCCCACCACGTCTAACTCCGACAGCGGCTCAGTTTGCCTATGTCAGTGCAGCGACCTAACACACCAGCCATGGCCTTCCTTAAAGCATTCTGGAAAGGATACACCAAGCACAAGAGTGAGTCGTGTTAAACTGTCTTATTTTTTTTTATTTTTTTTTTTATTTTTATTCTTTTCTTATATTGAGACAAATGAGTTTAAATCATTTTTTTAATCAATAAAAATAATTATAATTTTGTGAATTGCGCATGACATCCAGGTATGTTTGATTTGAGTACCAGATTTCTCAATACCTTAAAAAGAACCATTTATTATTATTTCATAAATTGAATTAAATAGTGATAGGAATTTGACAAAAATCAGAATAACGACTGAAAAATATTTATAACTAATATAGAACGATAAAAAAAAAATATTAACTCATTAATTGGGTATACAAGAAAAAAATGTTATTATATTTTTATGTATTATTTTCTTATAATAAATATTGTCAAACGTTGCAGACTGATCAAATGACAAATGATACTTTCGTACAGATGTATAAAAATAAATAAATCATTGTTTATACATTTTACTCCATATTAAAATCAATAAATGTTATTAGTAATTTAAAGATATTATATAACATATTAAATAAATTAATTATTTTATTTATTTATAATTTTGCGGGCTTTTCGACCACTTACAGGTCATTTTAGCCCATACACAATTTAGCTGTTACGATATATTTGAATTTACGAAACAATTAAATTATATAGAATTTTCAATTAAATATTTGTAATAAATTCAAAGATATCAAACGTTAATAAATTACAATATAAAAAAGTCCAAAATTTTTTTTCTTTATTTTTTTAACCCCCCAAAAAGTTTATTTAATTAAATTATTTATATAAGTACAACAATACAAATATATACAGACAACAAGGTCCTTCCATCAATTTATTCCATTCAAAGTACAAAATGAAATAAATTCAGATATGATTTTCAATAATATAGTTAATTGTGAATAAAGGGGAGGTCAATTTACTTTTTATATAATTGTAACAAAATAATTAAAATTTAATTTGTTAATAGGCACTGTCAAAATAATTTCATCGTGCCAACATCTAGCACGCACTCACGTGCTTCCATCATTAAGTACACTCACATTGTATCAATGTCAGAAGCAAACACGTATTACGTCTTTTGTCAAAATCTATTTTTTATGTTATCAATTGTTCATTCAATAAGAATTTATTTTAGTAATAAATAAAACGCGTGTAATCTACTTGCTTATTTATTTAATTTGATGGAGCTATGTACCGTTTCTTAAGGCTAATTAACGAACCATTCCTAACATTTACAATCAGTTAAAAGCATTGATTTTTTTTTTTTAATATTGCATGTTTAAGTCTTTAAATTTGTTGTCATTTCCTATCAAAGCGTGTAGTGATAGACATTTTAATCTAAATTAAACGATTTATGAAGAGTTAAGTACGTTTCATAGAACATAATTTTGAGAACATACACAAAAATTACGATATCATTAATTTGAAAAAATATCATAATTTGAATGACTTCTTCTTAAAAAATATTTATGGCAATTACCAAATGTAGAAGCAATCAATGTCGGTCTATTTCTTTAACATAATAAATCGCGACAAAGATGTATTAAAAACATTTAAGATATTGTATGTTTTAATATTTTGTCACAGATTTGTTTTTGGTTTTCTTTTTTATCAATTTTAATAATTAATTGCAGTTATTACACAAGGAACCCTGTTGATACCTAAAGCTTGATAGTTAATTGTTTCCTGAAGCTAATTACTTTGTTATTTGGTTATATCGTATTTTATTATAGCTTTTTTGTTAAAAAAAATTGAAAGGTAGGTACTTGAATAATTGGAAATTTAAGTTATGATAATTAAATTAGAAAAATATGCACGGACGACTAAATCAGATACAGTCGCTGGATGTGAAATCTCATGTTAGCTGATGAAATCCAAGATAACTTTCGTCATGAAACACCCAATGCAATTACTAACATAACATCCTTTAAGCTTTTTTCTTACCAAGCGTTGAACATAATAAACAATAAATCAACAATTAGAAAATTATTGATTTAGTTTTCAGCTGCATTGAAATTAATTTATTGCAAATAATTTTTTTTTAAATAGTTTAAAATATTTCTTGGAAAAACAATCTCTATTAAAATTTTATTGAATATGGTTCAATTAATATTTCAAATAAAATCTATTTTATTGAAACAATAAAATTAATTACTGTTATTGAATACTAATTACTTAATTTTTATTTATATCTAAACTGTCAGCTGTTTATTAATTTACTAATTGTGTAAGTATAACAGAATTTGTAGATCAAGGTATAAAAATTAAATAAGATAAATTTATTACAGAGTCGTATAATTGGTTTTAATAATTTTATTTATTATATTAGCAAGCTTATGTATTGTATAAACTAAACTATAAGTTAATGATGCGCAACAGTTTATGAAGCAAACTTTATCAGTTGTTATCGAGCACGTACATTATAGTAAAACTAACTTCACAACACATACGACATATGAGTATTTGCATATCGAAGACGTACATCTCTTCTCTTTAAAAATTTTGATGTTGAATATTATTAGAATAGGTTTAAATTGACGCTATGTTACAGAAAATTAACTTTTTCTCAACGTTTTGTAAATTACAAATGTCCGTAAGCCACTCATATGTTTAAATGTGTATACATGTCTATGTGATGTCTTATATAATCTTACATATTCATACATAATATTTGCACACATAATAAATCTTACTTAACGTAACAAATTTTATTGACATTTGTTCTGGACAGGTGATGTAGTAGTATGACACATGTTTTATTTTTAAATTAATTAGTTTGGAAAAACAGGAAACGTTTAACTTAGCAGTGTGGTTTTAATATTAATTAGTACGCTTTCATATTAATTGTATGATTCATAATTTTTCGTTTGCCGCAACAAGAATTTCCAAAATGTTCCTAAAAAAATTATTTATTATAGATGGATATTGTAAAATACTCTTTTCTACATAATAAAGAACAAAAAACCAGATGCTATAGAACATTGATCAAAAATTAATTATGTTATAAAACAAAATTTACTTAATCAATATTGTTCAATCACGTTCTATTTAGTTTTAAAAAGAACTGATCAAAATTATTATAATTTTAATATTATTATAAAATTATTTTAATTATAGTTTTCTGAAAACCGTGAGTAGTAATTATTTAAAATATTTAAACTATTCATGAATTGTGATTTTGTTTTTTCATTTTAAAAAATATATAAAAAATAAATGGAAACAAAAACATCGACGTAAAAACGGCATTATCATGTTGCATCATCACACATGATCTATCTCAATCAGACTGATAATTATTTCGTAGTTTTATCATTTATTATTGAAATCAATTTCAGGGTTGTTCACATGTAACATCATCTCATTCGTGTCTGAAACGCAGTGTATGTCGAGTTCAAGGGTAGCCAGTATTTCCTTGTTTACAACTAACAACTGATATAAAATAAAATAATTAAAATTCATCAAACGCCAGTGAGCTAGACTAATTCTCCATTTATAATTCAGTAATATATATTGCATATACAATGAGATCAAATGTTTTTATTTTAACTAAATATTGATAGATTTACGTGTTGAGTTCAACTTCAGTAAAACGGGTTTAAACGTGATAATGCAGCTTGGTGCCATGTTATTTCAAAATATTTTGTTATTCAAATGCATAACTTTTATTTGATTTTTGAATATTAGTTTGCTTATTATCACTTACAGTTTATACAATATTTACTCCAATGAAATTAAAAAATAAAAAAAAAAAAAAAAAAAAAAAAACATGTAAAACACTATTACCCACGAAGTGTCTTGAGTTCAGTACTTGATAAGAAGGTACTGTTTCTCGGTTAACAGTTTTAAATTGAGGTGATTTGACTGAGATCATGCTTAAGTATATATATACATATAAAATAAAAATATTTATATAAAAATAAATCAACTTTAACTGACACATTGGGACGGGGTGGCCGAGCGGGCTAACGCGGGTGCAAAGCATCGCTCGTTTCCCGGCAATTACCATACAAACCCCATAAAGCCTAAAAGTCTAAGACAAAAAATAGAAAGAAAAAAAGTATATATATATACTTTTTTTCTTGGTGGGACAATATAACTAATATTTATATATATATATATATATATATATATATATATTATATATATATATATATATATATATATATATATATATATATATATATATATATATATATTAGTTTTATTGTCCCAATCTAACTAATACTAACTAATAAAACAATATAACTATATATATATATATATATATATATATATATATATATATATATATATATATTATATATATATATATATATATATATATATATATATATATATATACATATATTAAATAAATATATTTATTATAAATTATTAATTATTTATTGTTTCATCTTTCGTGGATCGATGGGACGAGAATCCCTCATGGGGCACACCTAATGTGGTTACACTTAGGTTAATAATTGATCAAGGTGGAAAACCTGGCGGATAGGCGTGATCTTGGTCAAGTCAGATCATTGTACAACCGTTGACCAACAATCAGTACTTCCTTACAAATTGAACAAGATCGTTCATGAGTTGTAGTGGTAGTTTTTTTAAAATGATAAATACCATTAATCGTATCTTAAGATTAATTAAAGTAGATAAAATGATAAATGCTTTAAATGTAACTCCATGGGGGACCCATTTCATATTATACTGAGATGCAGTAAATATGATAACTACCGGAAAAAATACACCTTTATTCAAAACGCACTTTTTTCCGAGAGCTAGCAGATCTGAACAGAGATATGGTTTATTCCTTATTCAAAGAAAAATGTTGAATAGGCATCTAAAAAAAATACTTTCATATCATTAATACCTAGTTTGATAAAATAATAATATTAATAATAGGAACATCAGTGGAAATCTTGGACCAACCAAAAAAATTAATAAATGAATAAAAATTAGGATTCATATAAATTTTGTATATACCTATACATCCTTATTACTGAATGGAATAATGTAATAT